TTATGATTGACCTCTATGTATATAGCTAAGTCTACCTTTATTTAAGCTTTTAAAAATAATTTTTATCCATCTAAAATAATATTAATATAAATTATGTAGTTATTAGGATGAATCCTCTTTTTTTAATCCTCATAAGTTGTTTAAGCTCATTTGCTAGTTTTTTTTAAATTCTCAAATTACACGCAAGTATTATTTCCAGAATCACAGATTATCTCAAGATTTTTTTGTTAACTCAATAACGATGGTGTGTTTTATAACTTTTTTCCTATGATACTGGACTTTCTCTATGACCTGGTGATTTATGAAGTTAATTAACACTCTTGCTAAAGACCTTTATTTCATAATCAGTAATATACAGTGCTGAAATAAATGCGGAAAGAAAAAATAAACATCTGCTTGCATTTGTCAGAAAAAGATGAACAATTAAAATAAAGTTAATATCAAACCCAGTTATTTCCTTATTACTATATTTTACATTGCACATGTGTGCTAAAGATGTCTGGGTCCTTTAGAATAGGTGTTAAACAGTGAATGTTAGACTCTAATATCTAGTTACGAAATAATATAATAAGTCAAATAAACATGTGTAAAACTCATAACTCTTTATAGTAGCTGAGATTGTGGACTCTAGGATTACATTGCCTATTCTTGAAAAATGACTTCACCACTTTGGGCAAGCTACCATTTCCTTGCTCTAAAACAGGTCATAATAGTCTCTACCACACAGTCAATTTTGAAAAAATATATGAAAGACTTAAAGTAGTCCCTGTGTTGGTAACATGTAGATATTAGTAATGACTTGGATGAATGATGATAGTTTTGCTGAAACCTGAAGAATGATTGGAAACATCTTGTTTTTTTCTAAGTTCTATAGTAACACCACTATACTTACCTTTCAATAAATAATGGGATACATATTAACATTAAAAGCTACTACATTATATGCCTGTCACCAGCTTAAAATTCAATATTACTACATGGCTACAGCCAAAGATTACTAGCCAAATTGATACCTGACTCCTATTTATACTTCTGTTAAGAAGGTTTATTTTATATAATATAAAATTATAAACTTTCAATTAAGAAAATAGTTAATAGGAAATGATCATCATATTTAATTGCACTCATTTTGTTTCACATGAGAGACCTAAGCTCAGTCACTTGGGGAACCGATACCAATATTTAAGGCTTATGACATTATTGAAATGACCTTTTAGAATCAAAGCCTGAACACACCAAAGCCAAGTACACTACTCTCAGGTTGATTCCAACTCATGGTGATCCCACACATTATAGAGTAGAATTGGTTTATAGGATTTTCTTGGCTGTAATTTAAAACAATTTTTTTCCTACTTTCTTTAATTAATTTTTTTCTTTTTATTAAAATAATTTTATTGAGGGCTCATACAACTCTTTTTACAATCCATACATACATCAATTGTATAAAGCACATTTGTACATTCGTTACCCTCACCATTCTCAAAACATTTGCTCTCCACTTAAACCCCTGGCGTCATCTCCTCATTTTTTCCCCTCCGTCCCTGCTCCCCACTCCCTCATGAACCCTAGATAATTTATAAATTATTATTTTGTCATATCTTGCACTGTCTGACGCCTCCCTTCACCTACTTTTCTGTTGTCCGCCCCCCAGAGAGGAGGTTATATGTAGATCCTTGTAATCGGTTCCCCCTTTCTACTCCACCCACCCGGTTTCACCACTCTCACCACTGGTCCTGAAAGGATCATCTGTCCTGGATTCCCTGTGTTTCCAGTATCTATCTGTACCAGTGTACATCCTCTGATCTAGCCAGATTTATTTGTAAGGTAAAATTGGAATCATGATACCTGGGGAGGGGGGGGAAGCATTTAGGAACTAGAGGAAGTTGTATGTTTCATTGTTGCTACACTGCACCCTGACTGGCTGTCTCTTCTCCATGACCCTTCTGTAAGAGGATGCCCAGTTGCCTACTGATGGGCTTTGGGTCCCCACTCTGCACTCCCCCTTATTCACAATGATATGATTTTTTGTTCTTTGATGCCTGATAACTGATCCCTTCAGCAACTTGTGATCACACAGGCTGATGTGCTTCTTCCATGTGGGCTTTGTTGCTTCCGAGCTTGATGGCCGCTTGTTTGCCTTCAAGCCTTTAAGACCCTAGACGCTATATCTTTTGATAGTTGCGCTCCATCAGCTTTCTTCACCACATTTGCATATGCACCCATTTGTCTTCAGCGATCGTATCGGGTAGGTGAACACACAATAATATGTTTTTTTGTTCTTTGATGCCTGATAACTGATCCCTTTGGTACCTCGTGGTCACGCTAGCTGGTGTGCTTTTTCCATGTGGACTTTGTTGCTTTTGAGCTTGATGGCCGCTTGTTTACCTTCAAGTCTCTAAGACCCTAGATGCTGTATACTTTGATAGCTAGGCTCCATCAGCTTTCGTCACCACATTTGCTTATGCACCCCCTTTGTCTTCAGTGATTGTGTCAGGAATCTTGGCTGTAATTTTTATGGAAACATTGGACCAGACCTTTCTTCTGCAGTACTGCTGAATGAATTCAAACCACCAATCTTTAATTTAATAAATTTGCCCAAATCATTTGTGCCACCCAGAGACTATAAAGCCCACCCAATAATTTCTTAGGAGTTGTATACTTTTTTATTTTTATCTCTTACTTGCTTTCAGTGGAAGTACATGTATATTCAAATATTTAAACATACAATTAGGATTCTGGTGGCAAAATGCCACAAGTACTTGGCTGTTAACTCAAAAGGTTGGTGATTCAAACGCACCTGCTGCTGCTCTGAGGGAGACAGCTGTGGCAGTCTGCTTCCAGAAGGATGAGAGCCTGGACACTTCTACCGGCTATGAAAACGTCTACCGAGCTCTCCTACAGGGTGGCTGTGAATTGGAATGAACTAGATGATAACAAGATTAGTTGGGAAACATATAGTTAATAAAAAGCATTGGGAAATTAACATTATAGTAATTGCTTTACATAGTGCTAATGTATGCTTTTTCTTAATGGGATTCTTGGCTATTGCTCAATCCCTGTTATTCCAAATTTGAATTTCATTAAAATGAATGTTTTTCACTTACGGAACCAATGACTTTCAGTGCAAAGCACTGTTATAGATAAAATTTAGTTAATTTTCCCCCAAAGGATATTTTAAAATGATAGAATCTTCCTCAGCAGGGAAGAAAAGCCATTAATTGAATCTATAATTTTCAAGTTTTATTTAGTATATTTTAATACTTGATTGGGATATTTTTATCATTAATTTGTTTATTGAGCTATAATTAACACAACATACAATTCAATAGTTCAATTATATTAAAAAAGATGGTGCAAACATCACCACAATCAACTTTGGAACATTTTCTTCCTCTTTATACCCATTGTTCTTGTCTTTCCATTTTCCTCACCCTCCCCTCTAAGGGGATTATTATTTCAGTTAGTCTTCATAAATCTTGGCTTCCCTATACAGAAAAACATATGAAACAAGGAAAAAGAACGAGGGGGGCAGTGGACCTAGCAACAACAATCATATAAAACAGTGAAAGACATCAATCTAAGAAAAAGCAAATGATATTAAAACTTTAGGACAAATTGAAAGTGAGTACAAAAAGAGATCTGATGAGAAAGTGTTACATTTCAGTCAAGTACTGTTTCTAAGACCCTCTTTACAATATTCTTTGTCTGATATTAGTACTGTTCATATTCCTAGTCTGTGGGCAATGGGGATTCACTAGGGACTCAGTCCATGTAGGAAATGTTTTGGGGGCTTCTACCATCATCCTTAGCATTCTGCAAATTGGTTGTGTAGAATTTAGTACTGGGTACAATTCTCTCTTCTGATTTGGATCTTATTATATACAATCCTTTGATCACACATGCTGGTGTGCTGCTTCTGTGTGGACTTGGTTGATTTTTCTATTAGATGGCTGCTTGTTTTGAGAAAAGACCTTTAAGACCCTATAAACTTTTTCCTGATAGCCAGGAACCATCTAATTTCTTCATCACATTGTTATATGGTTCCCAATATCTTCAGTGATATGAGGGCAAGCACCGGGCAGGCTCGTATTAGGGCTATGATCAAGCAAGAACTCAAATCTATTCATTTAACTTTTAGTTCTATATATCCCTGGTTCATTTTTGGAGACATCTTTATCATTTTGTTTTATTACATTATAGAACATCCCCATGGGACTTAAGGTAATTCTACTGATAGTAGCATTATTATAGTCAATGATAAAATACATATTTTTCTTTTAAAGTCCCATGACTACTCATAATTTAAAATTCTTGTTTTATTTGTTATTTGTTCTTAGAGTTTGCACAATTCCAGAATTTCTGAGTAATTGTTAAATTTTAATGAGGTTTTTGCTAAAATTTATTTTTTTAAAGTAGAAATAGAATCTTGCTCTTTTATGGAGGTGGAGGTGTTGCCACACATTTTTAAATATTCATGAAGAGTTGATTAGATAGAGTAATTCAAACTTCATTAATATGATATAAAGGATAATACAGGTAGTATTGTCATTTGTTGGTCTCCAGTTATAGTTTAAATGACACTGGAAACCTATTCTTTGTTGTATAATGTGTGTCAAGTATATACCAATATTTGACTCTCCTATTGTTAACTTTAATTTTGCCATGGAACATACAGTGTGGACTTTGTGCAAGATGAAGTCAACTCTTCAGAGTATTGAATTAACATGCAACATTTTTATAAATATCATGCAATTCACTTATCAAGTAGATATTTGGTTAAGTTGACTTCAAGCCACTTCCCACAAGCATTAGAAATCAGAACATCCAGGAAGGAATTTATCACTAGTTTTATGACATTATTGAATCATAAATCCATCACAGGGGCATGTAACAACTTTAATTCCATAGTGTAAATTTGTTGATTTTTTTATAAGGTTATAATGTATTTGAAAATATTCCAAGTGCTTCACTTTTCCCCCTTGATGCTGTCTTTTTCTTAGGGTATGTATATTAAATCAACATATGATGGCCTCCATGTAATTACTGGAACCACAGAAAATGTAAGTATCATGGCATTTTAAGTTTTGGTGTGTCTTTTTCCCCTTTATTGTTTACCAGTTTATAGATTTCACATAATTGAAATTGACTTTTGAGTAACATGAGCATATTAAGAAGTACAACTTAAAAAGTCATAATGAGTTGATAATTGCTGGTTTCACTGGAATTTCAGTCATTGTATTTGTTTTAGATATAACTAGTTACTAAAAGTTAATCTGATGGTTTCTGTTCACGGCCAGAGATGTGTCTTTCTAAAGTATTTTCAGGTTCATGACAAGTTATGGTGACATCGAAAAGAATCTACTTCCATCTGTCAAATATTTTGGTTATTTTAAGAAACTTACTTCATGCCTCAAAGGAACATTAGGTAGGGCAGGCTTTCTGAATCTTGTAGAATTATGCTTCATTGCTTGCAGAATAGGAGCGAGCAGCTCAGTGGTTCCCACAGTGTGGTCAGCCTACCTTGAGGACTGGTTAGAAATACAAATTGTCTGACCCAACCCAAACCTGTTGAATCAGAAACTCTAGGGCCTTGCCTCTGTTTCTGAACAAGAGATTCTCTTTTAGATGAGTCAGAGACATGATCAAGTCTGAGAACCACTGAAAAGCAGTGGGCCAGAAGTCCCCAGCCCTTGAAAGCTGCCTTATAACCAGGTCTGCTTCTTCATGGCAGTATAGCTTTCGGCAAATCACTTACCCTCTCATTGCATCAGTTTCCTCCACTCCAAATGGGAAATAATATTATTTGCCCTACATACCTCACTACATTGCTATGGAAATCCAATTAATAAATGGGCAAGACTATGCTATACAAAGCTGTACAAATGTGAAATGATCACATTAGGCATTAACTTGATCAGTATACTTGAATTGAATAGAATAAATCAGCATTCCTGCACCTGGTTGTTCCAGACTTCCCTTCTGTTTTAAAAGCAGGCATTAATATATCATTTAGAGATTCTGACAAATTACATGTTTGTGCAGTGTTCCTTAAAAGAAGAATGAAATGAAATTAGTTTAATCTGAAGTTATTATTGATCTTGACAATTTATCAAAATTTTCTTTTTAAAATTAACATTCTATTCATCTAAATTACATAGTATTTTTAATCTTTTATTGATTTTTCCCCACCTTTATCTCTTCGTTTTGTGTTAAGGTAAAACATATAATATAAATCAATCGAATTCCTGCAGTGGCTTCATAATTTGGTATTAAATATGAGTTATATAGGAATCAAGAATATCAATTAAATACATATTGTGAGCTGTTTAAAAATTTAAAATACAGTACAGCACTGAAACAATATGCTTGCCAGTGATCATTCTCATTTATTCATATATTCATTTCATTATTTATTTAACAAACTTCTTTTTTTTT